GGTGGAAGTGGAGTGATATTGGGAAGTGGTATTTGGTGTCTGTTGGGAGGTACAGGCTTGAATTGAGTGACTATTTAACCAACAAACTCCTTTTGTCTTGTAGTCGGCCCTTGGAGTTTTGTAAGGTAAATATTTTCCATTCCTGCCGGTTTGCTGTCCAGACTGTCAAGCTCTTGCTTTAATTTGATCTGACGAGTCTGTGCAGTCGAGTAGCTGAGGAGCGGTTTTTCCATTTTGTATGGATATTGGGTGTATTCTTCTCCATCTAGGAAGAAGCCACGCCCTCCCAGACTTGTCATTAAAATAGCTGTAGCTGGATGATGTTTTTTATCAATTTTTGGCAGCTCTGCCATAATATACCGCTGAAGCCTTTCCTTTTTCAGCCTCTCGTTTTTTAAAACTTTAAACGCCTCCTCGGTCTCTGCCTGTTTCTTTTGTTCAGCAATTTTTTGGTTTTCCTGAACTAAAGAAAAGTTTTCATTTATGTTTTTAATTGCATCCTCCCTTCTCTTTCGCTGTGCAATTAAAATTTTATTTTCATTCATTTTCCACATCCTTGTCATCAAAATCTTTTTGTCTTTTTTCTTCTAAAAGACTTTGTTTGGCAGACTTTTCTTTGTTAATATCTGCCAGTTTTTTTAATAGCAATTTCTGATAACACCTGCTGTCTGATAACACCACCATTCTGTCTGTGTTTTTCCTCAGCTTGAAGTTTTTCTTCATGCATTTTTCTTTCTTTCTTTTGCGCTTCAAGCTGTTCATTCAGTTCTTTCAAGACTTTACTTTTTGCTTGTGACATTTTTACTGCCTGCTATTGTAAGTCTTGTTTATATTTTTCCTCCTGCTGCTGCCTTAATTCTTGCTCCTGACTTTTGAGTTGTTTTTCTAACTGCCTTCTCTGTTCATTATCTTTTATTTGGTCTCTTTGAGCTATATTGAAAGCCCTCTTTATTAGAATTTTCTTTTGGGCTTTCTCTTGCTCCCTTTTCTGTGCTTCCTCAAGTCTATCTTCCACCTCGTTATTAATTTTTTTCTCTTGCTCTTTTCTCGCTTGCGCCATTTCTTTTTTTAACTCGATAAGCTTATCGTTTTCATTTGAAACCATACCGCCATAGATAACTTTGTGAAAGTTTTTAACACAGGCATTCCTGTTAAACTGCAACTTATCAGCCTTCTCCAGAATCTGGGCTTGAAGTTCCTTTCTTTTTTGCAGTTTAGCTGCCTTTTCTAATTTCGTTTCCTCTTTCATGTACTTTGTCGTCTTATTTTGCTCCCTTGCCTCCGCTTGAGGATAATTTATCTCGTAAGTTTCCTTAAATCTAACTTTTTTTCTGGGAGCAAATGAGGCTTGATTTTATCCCAATGGTAGTTAACGCTATGTGTTGGGGTCTCTGTATTCTAGACATCATTTTCTTTCTAAAGATATAGCAATGCTAAGACGTTGTGCGTTTGTGAAATTGTTTGTGTCAGTGAAACTGAGTTTATGTCTGTTACAAGCCCTATTTAAGGGTTTTTGTAGCCTTTGATCTGAATTTTTTTTTTAAACTTTATTTAACAAACAATGAGTATACAACATACGAACAGATGCAGTATAGAAAACAACAGAACATGAACACAAAAAGCCAAGGGTAAAAGAAAAAGGTAACAATTATAAGAATACACGCAAAAATTCACATACATATACAACACATATTGTTTTGAGAGCCTTTGTGTTGGTGGAGTCTGATATTGATTGTATGTACATTTCCACATCCTTAAAATAATGACAGAAATATGGTGTTTTGTTAGTAAACTTACATTTATGGTTAAAAAATTTAGCTAAAAGTATTAACAAATTTATCATAAAAAAACATTTATCATACTTCTTGGGGAACTTAAAGAAACAGAATAAAACATTTTCCCATCGTAAAGAAAACTCCCTTAAAATGTGGACAATAACAAACCTGCTAAATTCCTTCCAGAATCTCTGTGTAAAAGAACAGTACCAAAAAAGATGTGTCACAGTTTCTGGATGATCCCCACAGAAAGTACAATTAGTATTTATGTCCCTTTAAGATTTTACCATGTAGTGACTGGCTGGATAACATTTATGTAGAATTTTAAATGAGACTTCTTTCACCTTATTTACAATCAAATATTTATGGGGGACCATCCAGACTGTCTTCCACTTGATATCTGGAACATATCGGTTCCAATAAGATATTATATATGGGAGAGAGACGATATCTTCTTGGAATAAACTACGTATTCTCTTATTGCTGTTACCAAGTTCCTGTGAAAAACAGATTTTCCCTATTGGTGACTCAGCTGGATCAGGGAGAGTGACTGAGGTAGATATTGAGCTGTCAGTGTTTTTATATAACATTAAAGTCCCTGAGGGTATGGCACCAAGCACCATTAAGAATTCCTGAAGACTGATTGGAAATGTTATATTGCTGCCTCTGTTCGGTGGTGTCGAGCCAAACGGACTTTAGCGTTTCTTTGAACAAGCTGACGGTTCACTCGTTAAGCTGAAAGAAAGATGCTTTAATCACTGGAGTCACGTGTCCATTGTACCATCTGGGAACTCTTCTTGTTTAGCACTCTTAATAACACAAACACTATATCCTCTGTCTCTTGTGCTGTTTTGTAGCAGTGTATACTTATTTATCATGTAGCTTGCCATCACCAGTGTGTGAATGTGTGCATGAATGGGTGGATGACTGGATATGTAAAGCGCTTTGGGGTCCTTAGGGACTAGTAAAGCGCTATATAAATACAGGCCAGGCCATTTATACACCTGAGACTGTCACCTGACTGTCTGTCCTGCACTCTCTCTCTCTTTTTCTTTCTCTGATTGTGTAATAAAATATGAGCATGTATTTATAAGTTACACTTGTGTTTGAATCCTGCAGCTTATCACACATGTGATTTCCATATGTGACAACTGCAAGTGTCCAGAGTGAGGACAGACTGAGAGACCCACTGCTGCACATCATCTGTGAGGCTTTGCACCCCTGATGATCCACCAGGACAAACTCAAATAATTTTACCATTCCAGTGTTTTCAGTGTGGGAGAAAGTACTCAGTTCAAGTTAAACACTATGAAAGGCAGTACCAAGTTTAATATTCAGAAACATAAACTATGTATCAGCAGCAGAATGGAGCTAAAATAAATGTCCATGTTTTTTTCAGTTCTATGAAGCTTTGAGTATTTTGGATTAGTAGCACTCCTGTGTTTGTTGCATCATATTGCTGTAATTGTTTATATGCTTTATATATCCTGAGGTAAGTTGATCTATAATGTTACATCATATTCTATAAGGATGTTATGTGTTTGTATATTTTCTGCCCAGTTTGACCCATTTAGCAGAAGTCAGCCTGTTTAAGGCTCTGATATCTATTCTGTATGACTTAAAGCAGTTATGACATGGTCTGATTTTGTCACCCAATAAAGGAATATTTAATATATCGGTCTACTCTTCGTTTTATCAGAAACAGTTATCACAGCTCGTAAATTTTCATTTTACACATATGTAAGCATTGAGCCAAATTTTGTAATGCCAACATAATGAAAGAACAATATTTGTCTCTTATATATGATACATCTATATACATACACTGTCAAAGATACCTGTCTTTGAGTGACGATTTAAGGTGATAGGACATAAATAACTGCAAAAGTTCAAGGGGGCTGAATACTTTTGCAAGCCACTGTATCTCTATCTGACTGACTTGGTTGAGTTGGTTCTTAATGCCATGCAGACACTCTGTGTTGAACCTACTCCTGACATTTGTGAAACCTTTCTTCACCTTTGTATTGATAAGGTCACTTCTAACAGGGCTCAGATCTCAGCTTTAATGACATGTTTGAGCCTTGGACTTTAAAGTAAATTGTTAGTCATTTGAAACCCTCATTATTTCATAAAATAATGATGCTGTCCCTCCTTCTCTACTTAGAGGTTCTTCCCACTGTAGGACCTTCTAATTTAGGAATTGTAGTAGTCTGTCTTCAGTCTCATAGGTTTTAAACATGGAGTAGATGAACCTTGACCACTTGAAATCTGCTTTGGTTCAGTCAGGGGAGGCATTTAGGTGAGGAAGAAGAGTGTTGATCCATAAAGGTCAGTGAGGTCATGTAAATGCTACTTCAGCTGTCAGATACAGAGATTAAAAAAATGTGCATGAATCATGCATGATTTTCATTTACACCCATCATCTTCAACACTGGGTACAGCGGGGTTGACTTGGTTTCTTCACGTATCGCCTTCAGTGCAATTAAAGGCCTGTTAGAGGTAGTGTTGGATGCTGCATGACAATTCTGTACGCAAGACCTTCCAGCTCCCTTGGCTCATGTTCACACATCATAAACTAGTTTGAAGCATTTGTGATTAAAGTGGTTAAATTCTAGAAATCATCTTTAGTCAAAACACGGCTAATGCTTTACTGATGTAAAGAAAGGCACTGACAAAATGATTAGCTTAAAGTAAAATCACAGGCCAAAATAAACTGAATAAGTATATCATGAAATAATTAATTAAATATGTGGAAAATTATTAAAATAGGGAACAATTAGTTTGTTTAATATGCAAATAATTATTGCATATCAATTAATTTCATTTAAAACATTTAAGAGATTGTTTATTTTTATTTCAAATTTTATTTAATTAATGACGCATTAACTATTTAATAATATATTTAATCCATTTTGTCACTCGTGGCCCTCCATAGAGCTCATCCTTAATGTCTTGCGCTATACAAGACATTAAGCGCTATACAAATGCAGGCCATTTACCATTTTTACCATTTTGCTAAATTATGTGCTGTGGGGGAAAATTCCGACTGGATAGGGTTTATTTTATTTTATTTTATTTTATTTTATTTTATTTTATTTTATTTGTGTCGCGCTTTTTAGAGGGGAAACGGGGACACCCATGCCCTCGCTGAGATTTTAAAAAAATTATTTACAGTTACGCAGCACTGCAATGCGTCATGACGTCAAACGTTACGCACAACTGCAGCCGAACCAAACAGGAAGTAGTGCGAGAGCGGCTGCTGAAAATGTTTACGTTCAGTTTAACGTTCGTACGACAGTAAGTAGTAATTTAGCGGCTTAATTGTTGTTTCATACTTTCACCTGACTTGAAGATGAGTGATTTGCTGATGTTGGTGTCTCCTATAGAGCCTGCGTGTCCTGTCAGGTGTTGCAGCATGCTGTGTGGCTACATGTGTGCCTGTGCGGCTGACTTTGAGCAATAGGAGACTTAGGCACCTTTAACGTTTGTGCTCTGTTTTAGTTTTTTTTGAGGAGATGTTTATATGAGTCGTCTAACTCGGATTTGTTGTTTTGTATCTACACAGTGGGGAAACGCAGTACAACAGGGAAAAGCTGCTGCAAGGTGATTCACGTTATAACAACAGATGTAATCACGTGTTTACCTTTCACATCTAACTGCACCTGTGTGTTTGGACGGTCTGTAATTTGTGATCTCAGGTCAAGGTGTGGACACGCTGCTGTCAGAGACAGGTGTGCAGCAGGCTGAGGCAGCAGGACAATACCTAAAAGACATCGCGTTTACCAAAGTGTTTGTCAGTAACCTGCAACGAGCTGTACAGGTGAGGCACTCAGGTGCACTTTTTGGGGCACCATGGGAGGAAAATGACTGTGACAGAGGTGGCACATATCTTGCTGTAGAGATGACATCAATGAAAAATAGTCCAACACTTTAGCTCCTTTTACTGATCTATTTACCATTAACTTTTAATCCACTTTGATCATTTTAACATGGCTCACAGTATTTATTTATAGCACTTTTTAAAATATAAGCCTATATTCTTTATGCAAAGAATCAAATGGATAAGAAGCAGATTTTATTACAGCAGCATAATGTTTATAGTTTAATCCATCAGCAGGTTATGGTATGAAATAGAAACTGTTCATTGACATCAATCTGTGACAGGTATGTTGAATTTTTTTCTAAGATGTTTGGATGGTGTGAATTTTTCGATGGAGTTATCATCTTTCCTTTTGTAACGGCTAAAGGAAGCACTGAAGCACCTTTGCTTAGCTTTTATTAAGGTTGCCAAACAGATATATCCAGGTCAGTTCACACACTTACAAACCTTATTAGGCAAATTTTACTATTCCACTACAGCACCTGCTTTCCTGCCACTTGCACTGTACTTTAAAATATTGCTGCTAGAATTATAGCAAAGCAAACAGTCCCACAGCATAGTGATATGCTGTGTTTGTTGTGCTGTTGCATTATGGCCAAAAATCTCCACATTGGTGTCATCTTTGGTTTGTTCCGATGTAACTTTTTATAGAGAGGCGCCTTTTCCCCTCACTTGTTCAGTCTTTTTTCAATTTACCGCCATGAACTTTAACCTTTAACATGCTAAGTGAGGCCCGTAGAGTCTGAGATGTAGCTCCTGGTTTTTTTTTTTGGGGGGGGGTTTGCGGTTTCTCTGAGCATTGCATGGTCTGATTTTGGGGTGACTTTGCTGGGACGTCCACTCCTGGGAAGATTAACGCTGAACCAGCAACCTGCCAAAACTTGTGCTTTTGTACAGGAGAAGCATAGAAGCACCTGGCTTCTACTTACCATGTTAATTCATTTGGGACCAGTAAGGTTGTTTTTAGGGTGTATTGTCTTTCTTAAGACTGTAACTGGCACTGCTCAAGATTCAGGGGACACCAATGGATTGATTTCTTGACACAGGCAGCTATTCACGTTCCAAATAACTGGGATCTTTTGCAGATTCTAAGTCCTGCTGTGAAAATGAACCATTGTCTCCATAATGCTTATCAGCAGACACAAGCACGGAGTGCTCTGAAATCTCCTGGTAGACGCTGCATTGACTTTGGATTTGATAAAACGCAGCGGACCAACCACCACAAAGAAAAGCAGACGCCATGTAAACCCAAATCATCACAAAGTTCAGAAACTTCACACTGGACTTCAAAAACCTTTGATTCTGAGCCTCTGCTCTGCTTCCTCTAGACTCCAGGATCCTGATTTCCAAATGAAATTTATACATTTACTTAACGTTCATAAAGGTTCCAGTTATCTTTCTCCTTAGCTCAAGTAAGACTCCACTGATGTCATATCTGGTTCAGGAGTGCTTGATACTAGGACTGCGACAGTTGCAGCTCCTATCCTGAAAACATCTGTGCGTGCTCGCTCTCAATGCTCTGACACTAGCCTCAGTCCACTTCTCGTGAAGTCCATAAATGGATGTTTTCTTGACAATCCACTCATGAATGTAGTCTTGTAGTTTGTTGCTTTTGTACCTTTTCCTACCATGCTTTTCTCCTCCACTCAACTTGACATAAACATGCTTCAGTACAGCACTCTGATCAGACAGCAGTGACCTCCATGTGGAGGCTGTCATAGGTTATCATCTGGCCAACTGCCACTTCAGCGGTTTTCCTCACAGTTAAGGTAACTACAAAGCTGTAATAACTGATGTGAACAGTTACATGACTAAGTGATGCCACACGTACTTCCCATCAGCATCAAATGTTTAACTAATGAAATGTCATCTGGTTATGGAGAAATACAACACAGGATCTGTAGAAATGGCTATACTGAGATTCATGTCTTTTTCATTAACAGTGTATGAGTGACTGATTGTGTTTCCTTCTTCAGACAGCAGAGATAATTCTGAGGAACAACAGTCATTGCTCTGGCATGGAAATGGTTTTGGAGCCGCTACTCAGAGAGCGAGTAAGATCTGTTTACGTTCTGCTGCTTCCACATGTTAAAGTGTTACACATAGCTGTACGGGAGCCCTAAACTGGGGCTCTTTGTGTTGGCACAGGGTTTTGGTGTCGCTGAAGGGCGTCACAAAGAGTATTTGAAGAACATGGCGAATGCTGCAGGCCAGTCGTGCCGTGACTACACACCACCGGGAGGAGAGACTTTAGATCAGGTTAGTCCAAACAGCTGGCCTAAAGACCATTACTTGTACAACAGTGCCATGCAGTGGTCATTTTAGGACATTGCAGGTTAAGTAATCCCTTCTGTTTCCAAACTGATCTTTTATAAAGCTTCTTCTTCAGACCAGGGTAATGTAGAAAAGAATGTAGAAAGACTGTTTTGACATTTTACATTCAGAATTTCCATTTAACTCCCTTTGTATAAGCCTCAGTGTTGTGGGTGTTGGGTCAGAGCCTATACTGGGACTCTTACTGGGGTATAAAAGAGACCAGTGTTAAGCAACATCTGTGGTTTTTCTATTGCTGCGTCTTCCTCCACTCAAATTCACACACTACCCTAATTCACTTTTTTGGGTGGTTATTTTACCCCTTTGTTAGTTTAAGTGCTCACAGGATGGGAGGGTAGAGAGTTTAATGAACATCCCTAACTCAACTTAAAATAGTAGACACTTAAATTTTCTCCTACACTTTAAAGGTAAACTTATCAACACACAAATTTATCCTCTAATTTCTCTCAAAGTTGTCCTCTTTTTGGAGGTTTAAATAATTTCTTGATCAATCAGTTGTTATTCATATTGAAATGAATGAAATAAGTGAAATGCTTGTACAGGGTGGGCCATTTATATGTATACACTGTAATAACATGGGAATGGTTGGTGATATTAAAGTCCTGTTTGTGGCGTATTAGTATATGTGAGGGGGCAAACTCCTCAAGATGGGTGGTGACCATGGTGGCTATTTAGAAGTCTGCCATCTTGGATACAACTTTTGTTTTTCCAATAGGAAGAGGGCCATGTGACACATCAAACTTATTGGTGATGTCACAAGGAAAACAATGGTGTGCTTGGTGCTCTAATATCGCCAACCATTCCCACGTTATTACGGTGCATCCATATAAAAGGCCCACCCTGTATTTTCTCTGACCAGCAGTCTAGAGCTTTTCAGGGGCCATTTTCATACATTAACCTAAAATTTATAGAGGACCGAAATGGCAACATCAGTGGTAATAGTAAAGAAATTGAGTTAATGATAACGGAGTTACTATTTTTTTCTGTTCTATTTATCTACCTTTGTCTTAATTTTCTAATTTATTTACTTTTGATTTAATTATTCATCCCCTTCAGTTATTTTTAGCTCATCCAATTGTAGAACTGATGAGCTTATCCCACAACTGTCCTGCTCTCTTACTATAGTATTTGGTCAGATTTTGGTGAAATGAACATGATCACCTAATTGGTCTTCAGCATAACTGTCCTTAAGGTTGAGGTCACATTTGTTGTTTTATGGGCAGTAACCTGTGAATGTGGTGGATGCATTTATTTCTGTTTCTTCATTCTCACTTTTTTCTATTCTTATGCTTTTCTGCTTCAGCATGAAAATGAGGGAGGCATCATTTAAAGTCTGTAATGACTTCTGTTTAAGCGTGGCTGGGTTTATAGAGAATGGCTGAACAAGAAATAAATATGTTTGAGGGCAAACTAGAAAGGATGAATGAATGAATCCATAAAAAAAATGTGAGTTCATGCTTTATACTGAGTTGAATTTAAGAACTTCCACAGACAAAGTTGGACTAGATTGATTGATAAATCAGTAGATAAATATATTATATTTTCTGCATAAACTCAGTTTGAGTTGGATAAATCAAAGTCTGACTTTTTAAACCAAAGATGAAAAAAGCAAATCTCTCCAGTGGAAATGCTGCAGTGATCAAATTTTTTTTTGGCCTTTTGGTTGAAGGTTGTTTTTTTGTTTTTTGTTTTTTTTTTTAAATCTAGTATTCACAGCAGCTCTGATGTTTTAATATACAGTAGGTACGAGGACTGAAAATTACATGGAAAAACGAATGGCTCTCTGAGCTTCCCTGTCATGTTGCTTTCAGGTGAAGCTTCGATTCAAAAAATTCCTCAAAGCTCTTTTCAAGCAAATGCTGGATGAGCACCTCTCATCAGGACCGGCTGCCTCTTCAGGAGCTTCAGCATCTGGAGATGTCGCCCAGGGGACCGCGGCCGTTGCCTCCAACACCCCCCCCTGCTGCTCAGCTGATGACGGCCTTCAGGGCGTGCTTGTCCACACTCTGGTGGTGAGCCACGGCGCTTACATTCGTGTGGCCATCTGGCACCTTGTGGAGGACTTAAATTGCGCTCTACCTGCAGGGGCGAAAATGCAGCAAGTGTTTTCACCCTGTCCGAACACGGGCATCAGCCGCTTCATTCTCACCCTGAGTGAGTCTGAGTCTGGGCCGGTCCTCTCCGCTGCTCGCTGTGTTTTTACCAACAGGAAGGACCACCTGGAGAACCTCGCAGATGGTGAATAGCACAAAAGAAAATAAAGAGGTAGATGTTCTCTGCTTGTGTGTGTATATGTACACACTATCTGATGGATGATGGAACTATTATAAGCACTAATCTAGCACAGGTAACTGAAGGCTACGTTGCACAGGGTAATTCATGTTTTCTCAGTCGCTGTGTTTCACTGTGGATCAATGCTCAGATTCGGTGTACAGTTCTGTTTCATCATGAAACCATGTCTGTCCAGCTGTAGGCCAGTAAGGTGACCTTTCATATTTAAATTGTTTAAAAACTGATCATTAAATTGCCTCTTTTATTGTGTTACACCAAAGTTTGAAGTATTTAATGTATTGTGGCATTTCCTGTGTGGCAGTTGTGCTGCTGCTCATTTTATTGTGTGCAATATTTCGTGAGAGCACTGATACTTTGAGTTTGTGTTTAACATTTCATACAATCACAAGTAATGAGGGAAAAAACAAGTTGCACAAATCACAGAATGCTGTGAAATTACTTGCAAGACATTTGTGGATGTATTGTCTTTTTTTCTGGGTGCTACATATTCATAAGATCTTTTTATGTTGTCTGACATTTTATCTCCAATAAATGGCTGATGCAGCTCATGATGACCTCAATCAATAAACCATGGTCTGATTTATTCCCAATAGCTGTGTATAACTGAAAAACTGATGAAAACCAATTTAACACAAAGGCATGTGTTATGAATAGAGCAGAAGAGCATCTCTTAATGGGCTACAGCAGTAGAAGACCACACTCCAGTTCAGAACAGGATACTGAGGCTACAATTTTCACAGTTCACCAAAATGAGCCCAGACAAGATTGGAGTCATCTGGTCTGATGAGTCCATTTCTGCTGCCACATTCAGATGGTGGGATCAGAATTTGATGAGAACGGCATGAAAGTATTGATCCATCTTGGCTTCTATCAACATTCAGGCTGGTGTAGGGTTAATAGTCACCCTACATGAGTAATTTTGCTGATCATCCATTTATGAACACGGCATCTACTGATGGCTGCTTCCAGCAGGAAAACAAAGCATGTTTAGAGATATCATTCAATCTAATGCTAATGCTAAAAGTTAGTGCACTGGATTTTATAATGTTAGAATAATGAATAGGGGGAGTGTTATGTTTTTGGGAAACTTGTCGTATTTGAGGGCAGACACAAACGGCTGCTGTTGTTGTTTGCATTGAAGGATTTGTTGGCATTACTGGTGCTACATCCTCTGCTACGGTTACGGTGCTAAGTCAGCATTTTCAATTTCTTTTGAATCCATGTTGGATGTCTTTAAGTGCTGATGGGAGATCAGTTTTGCTGCTTCCACCTATTTTTAATATCCTGTTGTGAGTCTCTCGGTAGGTCAAAGTAACAGATATCCTTAAAAAAAAACAACAACTTGCAAACTCTGACAGGGCGTCATGGATACCACTCTCATGCAGTTTCAGTTTATTCACAAATATATTAAAATACAAATTCCAGCATAATGATATATAAAATAGGTATTTGTGAAATGGAACTCCCCCAAAACTGTTTACGGCTTTTAAAAAGAAGTCCAAATGTCACATTATACACACCAAATACAACATGGAAATTCTTAACATACGTGATCATACTAACCTAAATCACTACAGGGATCCTAACATATAAATTACATCCAATACATCTACAGTATGAACCTCATATAGAGAGCTATTACAGTTTTTAAAAGCTCATTGCCACTCAGCATTCAAAATCAAGCATAATTTAGTAGCAACTGTTGGATTAGAGTCTGTGTGAAGGAAGAAAAAGACATGTTTAAAGTGCTTTGAAGCTCCCCCCAAAATTCTGGACCTCTTGAGGTCACACTAACACATCTACATTTAAGTTTTCTTTCCCCTGAGAAGTTTTTTTTTCTTGGTAGAGCTCACAAAGTCTTATGTTGACTCTAAATGTACAAGCATCATGAAAAATGTCACATTCAGTTAACTTCAGAAGCCTGAAAAGAAGATCTATAATCTCTCAAGATATGTGGGATAAGCATTGCACCATCTAACATTGCTTTACCTTAAGTGAGGTACAAACAAAGACTGGTCGATCGTCAGTAGTGCTTCACATGAAAGAAAATGGCTAGTTTTATAAATAAGCTAACATATTTGGATAATTTCTTCTTGATTAGATCATCAGTCTTGCATATTACATTTGCAGCTTTGCTTCAAAGATTATAAAAGAGTTAAACTGTTGTTTGCTGTTATCTAAAGTAACTGAACTTAATCAACACATATGGTATGAAAAATACCTTTAAAGTAAAACATTAACAGATTTACCAAAAAGAGAGCGCACAAAAACAACTCACAAACACAGAACGTATTTTCTTTTATTACTTTATTTTGTCCCAAATTCAAGCAACACTCCATCCAAGACCCCAGCTCATACATTCAAAGACAAACCAAGTTTCCCTTTATGTACATTTGAACTGTCTCACAAATAAATAAAACGAAGGAATGGATTTAAATAAATAAATACTCTTTGGGACTGTTTTTTGTGTTTGCTGGTGGCGCCCAGCACCTGTAAAAGTCACATAACTGGAGTTAGGAGTTGACATCTGTAAAGGTTATTTACCCTGTACATATATTCCTTCAAGTCATGTATTAAAGACTGGTGGAGGATACACAAATGAGTGATGGCAGTGAAAAGTTGTGGGATTTCCCTGTTTAATTCCAATTTAAGAAGTTAAAAACCGCACAGGACTTTCAAATATTTAATCTTAACCTACCAAATAAAAACTTTATAGTATGTTCGTCATATATATATCGCTTTCTTTTTGTTTTAAACCATTAAATGGTGCCTTCAGTATTCTAGATGCAGGCTAAGTTGAGCTTCTATCATGGGAAAAAACATCAGTGTCACTTTTGAAATGTGGGTTTCTCAGATCAGCTGTAAAAACCTCATTGAGAAGAAACCACAAAATCAAAGATTGCGCACACATGTACACTGATTTGGGGGTAATTAATTTGAAGGGCTCTGGTGATTTTGTGAGAGAAACCAAATAATATTCCGAAAGAAATCCTGATCAATGCTCAGCGTGAGAGCATGCCAGCTGGAACATCTGGACACCTAAGATATTATTTTAAAAGTGAATACAGGTTAAAACACACGTCCCTCGACTTAAAATCTATATTTACAACTGCGTGAAAACTAAATTAAAAGGAAAGAGAAGGCTGCAGGCGCAGGTGAATTTAAAGACAATATAAATTGTGCAAAAAGAGTTGCAAGTCAAGTTTGTACATTCAGTGTATAAACACACTGCATTGCTGAATGATTCGTGACTAAAAAAGTTTTTAAGTCAGTGTGAAAAAGAGGGAACGACCTTATTGTTCTGCTTTCATTTTTCCATGAAGTCTCATGTTAATATTTTTTCTCTTGTATGATCTAAACTAAAATGTTAAACTATAGACTCACATAGACTAACTGAAGGCTACCGTGGTCTTTCTCAGCCAACTGTCCCGGCGCTCCGGGGGCTGGCCGGGTTGGAGAAGTGCACGTTCCAGGGGTCTTGGCTGGATGGAGCCGCGAGTTTCTCCCGGGACACGTTGCGTCCGTCATCCCCGACCTCTGTTTCTATTTCCGTCTCAATTTCCACCTCCCTTTCCTCCAGCTCCTCGGGCACGGCCTGGGAGTCCGAACCCTCTTCTGTCTGCCCTCGGTTTCTCTTCTCCCTGTGCAGCAGGAGGCGCTCCAGTGGTACGGTGTTTTTCCTGGGCAAGAAGAGGGAGGTCTGCGGCAGGTTCTGACCCGCCGAGTACACCTGTCGGGAGCCCTCCAGGTTGAACAAGATGCCGGTCCGGCTGGAGTAGTACACGTCCCGGTTGTTCTCCAGGAGCTTGTGGTTGAACAGACAGTCATCCCGAAGGCAGACAGGCTGGAAAAGAGAGAGGTGAGAGGGGCAAAATGAAACAAACGGAAATAACCAACCAAATCTTTCTTTGATGCATGCCATGAAATAAATATTTTTTTGTTTTTAAAAAACTGTTTAAATTAAAAATAAATACATAAATAAATAAATAAATAAATAAATAAAAAATCCCCGTTTAGAAATAAATCGGATCGCATGGAAAACAAAAGTGTTTTGCGGGATTATTAAATATAAAATACACGAAAAACAAACCACACACACAAAAAAACCTCTCACATTAATTACTTCATAGCTCAGAGAAATACAAATAACTCGCTGTTTAGTCAAAGAAACGGTGAAAAACAAATGTGGACTATTGTTTGCATTATTTTGTGCAGAAAAACGTCATAAAAACCATAAATGTAATAAAAGTAACTGAAGGTTTGAGGTCTGAGTTTATTGACAGTGACCTTTATCGATGAATGAATATTTATTTTAGACACACTGTGCGTAAAAACTAAGTAGCACAAGGTTCCGACGAAATGCGTGGGGTCGATTAAATCACAAATAAACACTGAGTGAATTCAAATTAATTATTTGCTTACAGAGCTGAACGGGTTGCCCTCCAGGTCCATGCACAGGTAACGGCTGCTTTTGACGCCGAGGATGGCGATACGATCTCTTGCTTCAGATTTCAGTAGAATCACACCTGCAGGAGGAGAAAGGAATAATAATCATACGAGAATACAGACTTTCATTATACTACAGCATAAATATTAGAGTTATCTTACTATAGGTGCTCCTGGACGTAGTTTTGCGCACACTCCCATCTAATCTGATCTCCAAGTAGAAGTTATTGAGGTCTGTGGATGTCTGCAGGTGGACGTATCTCCTTGGGTTCCCCCAGGTGGATCCAACCAGAGGTGATGGGTTCGGGACCGTATCCCCGAGAGGAAATCCCTGCAAGACAGCGAGAAAGAGCGCCAGCACGGTGTCTCTCATCCCCATTCGCCTGTTGACCTCCATTCTGGTTCAAACTTCGAGCTCCTGGAAGTTTTCAGATGCTCTGTTGTCGCAAAGTTTGGAGACAGTTCCTATTTAAAGCCCCCCGAGCGCCACTCCTGCTCACATCCTTTGGGTAAAAAAAAGGAAAAAAAAACAAAAAACGAAACTCGCCCCCAAAGCAGATGTGCGGGTTTGCTGCAGCGGAAGGGCCACTTCCACCTCTGTCTGTTTACACCGATGCTGCTGGTCAAACAACAGAACTCTTATTTTTGGTTAGTCTTGACTCATCCACCTTAAATTAGACCTGTTACCGAATAATTCCTGCTTTAGTTTGGTGTAAAACGATGTACAGGGTAAATTAAAAGGAAAAAAACCCGGAACTTACATTTTATTTTTAATCAAACCAGACACGGGTCATAGTATAATTTAACTGATTATAATTAAGACGTACATTTTAAATGAAATAGCTTATTATATATATTTAACAGAACCGGTTAACCACGGTGGACTAGACTTGTGTGCTGGTTCAGTTTGCCTTTGCGCACCTGCAGAGCTCAACAGTCCCTGTGTTTGACCAGCAGAGGGAGACACTTCCTTATATAGAGCAGAGAAACGAAAGTCTGATAGCAAGACTGTGACAGAATAGTTTCCCCAGAACATCACTCTAAAGTAAACTCACGCTTCAGTTTTGTGAAAATCAGGACCATTAAGTGCAGCCAAATAGTTAAAAAAAATTAACAGAAATGTTAAATACCAGTGGTGGAAAGTAAGCTTATTCATTCTGTACAGCCAACAAGCCTTTAGATTTAACATGTGGCCTTCAGAGGAGGCCTGACTCCTACACTTGGACCTGCTGTATGAATTACTACACTCTAAGGCAGATGTTTGTCTGGGGTTGAAAAGTGTATTATAGTTGAATTGCCTCAATTGTGCATTGTTTCCAATGGCCAGCAGGGGGCGACTCTTTAGACTGCAAAAAGGTGTGGAAGTCATCTAGAAAATACTGCTCACTTGCAGGGAAGAGGATTAGCGCATTTTTATAGTAGTATTTTTAATGAACTTTTTGTGATTATTATAGAAAAGTAAGAATTCTGGAAGAAATTTTTACAACTAATTCTGGCAACAATAACGTCTGAATTCTGATTAAATCAGAATACTGAGGAAAAAGGTCTATGCGAAAATATTGTTTCCCTCACAACCAACAGGCATGCTATATATATATATATTTCACTTCTGTTCACTTCACTTTCAAGTTTTGTTTTGCTGAATTCACTATGATTTTTTTATGGTTCAACTTAGAGTAACAAAGGAGGATTAGGGAGAGTTTGCTCTACCTTGTGAAAAGTGAGCAGTGACAGTTGATTTTCTTAGTCAGATTCACCTCCAGTTTGTCAGGTAAAAGAGTTTAAAGAGATAAAGAGTTTAACCAGTGCTACACAAAGAATCACACCTTTTCAAGCAGTTTTAAAAAAAACCAAAACAAACTTTTATTGGTATCTCAGGAATACAGTAGACTGCTGTGCACAGCACATACGTACAAAAATAAAAGGAAAAAACTTTAATATCCTTACTTAGCATTGTCTGTTTTCAGAAACAAATAACTGAAGTTTGTTTCTTTTCATTTACAGTCATCAGCAAACCAAAACTAAGGCAGAAGGTGAGGTATATGAGAACAGAGGAGAGGAATAGAGAAGGATTTAAAAACAAAACAAAAAAAACAGAGAAAAAGCACACACCCTTAATCAGATTCAGAGCTCAGGCATGCTAAAGTATGTTAATCATTATTTTTTTTAAAAGAAATTCCTCACCTTGACTTAATTAAATTTGACCTATGATAAGAAAATGGAAGAAAAGAAAACAGATAAATCTGGATACATTTCTTTCTTTCTTTTTTTGGTCAAAGCTGATAGGTGAGTGTTTTGCTTTAGACACAAACTTTCCCTCTTTTAGAGATTGTTTTTCATGACCGATATTGTTTGAAAAGTTGCTTCCTTACACTTGTTTCTAATCAAGATGTCCTTGATAAGGGGCTGCCAGAGACTTTGGACATCTTGATTAGGGTGCTGGCTGAGAGAAGTGCTCTTTGCTTTCATGTCTTGCTCAGCTGAAAATACAGATTCACAACGGTTTACTCCCGAGGAGATCAGTGATATGACACGCAGCCTCATCAATGACAACAATGAGCCTTTTTTTCCCCTTTGTTTGTTTTGCTGACATTTTGAGCTACATTTGCTTTGCTGTATATAGCCTTGGCATTTGCAAAAAATGCCCTCAGAGCAGAAACAAGCCATTTAAGATTGGGGAAGAACACTGTTATGATTAAATGAGCAGCGTGGCGTGTTCAAATCTTGGGGTGCAGATGGAGCTCAGCAGCAGCAGCAGCAACAGCAGCAGAGGGCACGCCCTGAGGATGGCTGGGGAGCTGTCCTAAAGGACTGGAGTGCAGCAGGAGAGGTGAGGTGAGGCTTTGCGTGACTCTGCTCCCCACATACTGCATTAACTCTGCAGATGTCCCCTCCACAGAAATATCCCTACATGACTATTTAGAAAGGGGAGTTGACAGCAAGTTGCAGGGCTGTATTTTAAAGAGGTGGTGCTCTAGTTTCATAGGATGTAGTGCTGTTTCAGAAAATACTGCAGGTAAAAGGAACTATTAGAAATATGTTTTTGAGGGCTTAAGACAGTCCGACCCATATAGAAGACCACCCTGGTCATTGGGGTCGGGGTCCGTAACTCTGACCTTGAACTAAAAAAGGCTGAAAGGAGAGGAGGAAGCTCCTGGGTTACAGCTGGAATCCCAAGGTCTCTTGCTATAGCAAGTAAGCTGTGGGGTGAGGGACAGGCAGAGGTGGGAGGGTGGGATAGAGCTCAGGTATGTGGAAAGCTGCCTGTCATCCTGGCAGATCTGCATTCCTGCAGCAGGTTTGAAGAACAACAAAGACAGCAGGCCAGCTCTGTCACATACGTCTTTCTTGGATTTAAATAGTCCTGTTTCCTCTGTCACAGGCACAGACAGAGGCAGATGATCAAGCGTTCGTCAGTTCTGTTTTGTTTGTTTTTTTGTTTTTTTAAAGTAAACAGCTGCAGAAAGTACAGGGGTGAATGTACTTGGGAAGACTCTCAGGAATTCTCAGAATGAGGCAAGAGAAACATCTTTGGAATATATAACAAGATATTTGTGCACACTAACAGCGGGTCTGCAAAGCTTAATACACCTCTAATAAACTTTTCTTATTAAATAATCAGTTTTTGACTAGCTCAGCCATTCAGCTATAGCAAACTAAGATCAAAATCAACAGAAATACAGATGCAGAGTTAAGAAATCTAAGAATGTGGATCCAGTCCTCGAGCTGAACCGCGCTTTAGTCCTTAAAGTCATCTAGAATTGCATTTCAAAACATTTACCTCCAACACCTCACTGCCACTGCAGTGCTGCTGCTGCAGAAAGCAGATTCAAGCAGGGGAATTGCCCCAGGGCATGCACATCCTCTACCAAACTCACTGATGTGAGAAAAAAAAACAAATGTGGAAGCAAAGAGAACATTGAGGCACCATCATCGATGGTCGACTGTGCAGCCTGAACTCTTAACGCCTCATCCAGGCAACTGTAACAAAGCAGCATTGTATGGTTTTTTTTGTTTTTAAAAAAAGAAGAAAGAAAAAAAAGCTCCTGAATTCTTCTTCTTTTACATTTGCCAACTATTTACAAAGTTTTTTTTCATTGGTTTCATGGACAGTAGACATCGTTTTCAATAGCAGCTATATCTTTGCCATTCAGAAAAAAAATGAAAATAAATAAATAAAAACCGCATCCCAGTTTACTGTGGGAGCCCTGTCCAAGACTATGTGCTGTAACATTTCTACTGTGCGCTCTATCTGCTCAAATAAAAATTTTCTCCATGCTGGGATAAATACATATTCCACCCTGTTTATATTTCGGCAATCCCACAAAGTCAAGCTCGTGGCCTTGTGCCAGTCTACATGGCTGACGGCTCTCTGGTCTCAACCACAGATTGTTTATTACTTAATCGATCTAATTACAGAAAATAAAATAAACCAGAGATAGTCAACCCCCTCCCCCTCCCCCTTCTGAGGCCCTGTTCGGTGTGTCAGCCCTATTTCTGACTCCAGCGGGTGTCTCTTACATGCAACTTTAAGGGGGCCACAAGTGGGAACACCAAGGCACCTTTAAATCGTGCAGCAAAGGTAGTGAATTTAACCACTGCCAGCTATCGATAATCAAGCGCTTAAAGGTTTGCGGAAAAAATAAATAACAAACTTAGCAGATATTTGAGCAGAACTCCATGCATCCCTTAATCGAGTAAAGTGGTTCTTTGAGGTAACAAAAAGTATTCATTTCACTCTCCAAAAGCACAGAATACAGCTCATCCTCCATCTCAACAAAAAACAAAAGGAAGTGACATTTAGTTTAGTTGCAGCAAGCACCAAGGTAAAGTGGGACAGGCAAAGTCTTCAACTTTCCCCTGTCCATAAAAACAATAAGCAGCACAGTATGGCATACATATACAAAGATAACTATCCAAATATACATATATATATATATATCTATATATATATATCTATATATCAGAATAAATATTTGTCTTTTCTTTTGCAGTCCATGGGTGTGTATATCATTACTATGCATTTCTATATTACCTGGAGGAACATCCACATGTGCAAATTGTTAAGTTATTGCCAGTTTGTCTCATAGTCGTGGGAGGAAATGTGTGACAGTCATGGCGGTGGTGGCCTTGTTGCCTCTCTTTACACGGCCATGCTTGCTGAGGGCGATGTAGAAGCCCTTGTAAACAAAAGACTCATAGGCGTTGTAGTTGTTGGGCAGCAAAGTCTCCTTGAACTTGCACTCGTCCTTGAAGACTCTCTAGAAAAAGAGAGAAGGACAGAGGGGTGGGAGCAGGGAGGGGGTGAGGGGTGTCAGTAAATCTCATGACAGACGCAGTACGAACATCACAACATATGCATGGTTTCCACATGACCTCTGCTTTGGAAAACAGCCT